TCTAATGAATAATATTTGCGCAATTGCTATTCAAATATTGTTGAGTTTTTAACCGAATTGGGTTGGCTATGCGATTTTCGCATCGTTTTTACCTGACAGGGCTATTGAGGGGGTGGGCTGTTCGTGGTGCAACACATAGAAAATAAACACAAGATACTTGAGTTGGTTTTTTAGAACATACTAGTATTTATGTACGTATGTATAATGTATGCTACTTTAAGCGTTATTGGCTTATAGAGCACATACTCGAAACGATATTCAGGTTGTGTGGATTATATCCATATGCTGTTACTGTTAATTTGTATATTTTTGTATGTTTTATTTGTATGTCGCTTCAGTTTTTTTTTATAAAAAGAGTTTACAAAAATGATTTTTTAAAACATAATGATGTTTATTATTACTTTTATTCCATTTATCAGAGCGAAGAACCCAGTAGTTCAGTGCCTTATTCGTGGTTAACTTCAAATTTGATTTTAGTGTTAACTCACAAATAAATAAATATAATAATACTATTTCACTTTCTATATGACTATTTAATATTATTATAAGTAATATGTATTTATGACAAATAACATATTAAGAATGCTAATAACAACTTAAGCTATTACGAAACTATTAATTTATTTGTTAATATTTTACATCAGTGGTTTAGAACCTGTGGTTCGAGATGGTTGAAAATTGTTCAGCTATAAATACATAACAGGTAACAGGTATAGATACATAGATTGTAGTTTGTCCATAAAGACCTAACTTATTAGAGAATAAGAACAACAAATTTCCAAATAATTATATATCTATTTTATAGGCTATATAATGTACATATCAGAGAACTGCAACGAGTCATAACTTAAACACTCAGAGTGCACTCATAAATAATCAAATGTAAATGCGTATAAATGTTTTTCTCATACACTACTTACCTATATGCATTCACATTTGCTACAGAAATTGATCATAAGTACATTCGTTAAAGGAATGCCGGTGCTAAGGAATCAGCATCACAAGAACACGTACATATTTCTAAGTAGAGTAGCATAAATGGTGAAAGATTCATGAATTGTAGCATATACTCAAGTGAGTATAAATATACTCATCGAAAATAACTTACTCGATCAGATTAAGCATTCGTAAAAATTGTGTGCGAGCGCTTTAGTTTGCTAAGCAAAAAAATTTTGTGTTTAGTTTTGTGCTTTTGACGTGTGTTGTTGTTGTTAGCATTGTAAATGCACGTATTTTGTTTGTGTTCTTAAATATTTCATGAGCATTAAATTAGGGGTTGTTTTAGTAGGAAATTATATGCACAGTAAATACCCACAAATGATTCATAAATCATTTGCATCATTTTTCGGTCGAATATCGGTGTTTATGAGTATCATATGAGAAGAGTATAAATCATATTAAGTGCTGTCAGCTATTTGTATGCATCAGGTGGAGTCAAATCTACAAAAAGGGAGTCAGAATGCATATAAATGGAACAATGAAACACGATCAATGATTCGAGTATGATTCGAGTGTTGAGTACTCATTGCAGTTTTCTGGTACATATGCACTTATACACTATACTCGTATTATACATTATAACAGAGATGCATGAAGCATATTAAAATAATCGTTCAGTTTATTAAGCGGGTATTATAAATCATACTTGGTGCAACGTCGCTTGCTATCACACATCCGACACAGTGGACATTATTTTGAACACGTCCCAGCAAAAAAAAAAATATATATAGGTGTACTACAAAATCATGCGGGTATTTAATGTGTAATACCTGCTTTATTGTTAAACCTTTCGTTCCCTTCTAAAAACAAAAATAGGTGTATTCTTTTGATATGAATGCTCCAATAGAATAACTTTTGGTTGCTTAAGAATAATTTGGCATCACTACCTAAATTAGTAAACATATGACAAATAAAAAAAAAATAAACAAATTTGTGGTTGATAAATAGATAAAAATACAAAAATACTTGCAGATAATTTCAAAAAAGTTTTTTTTTATAAAAAATTATCTGATATAAATATATCTGATATATATAAAATAAATATAAAATGAATGAGACAAAAATATTATTGGTGCGCATTTTATATCGTATTTGAATTTATATAAAAATATACATATTTTAAGGATTTATCCATGGTAGCGGAGAAAAACAATGAATTAAGGAGGTTACAGAGAGAGAGAGAGAGAGAGAGAGCGACGCATTAACCAAATATTTTAAGTTTTTGAAGTTTTTTTTTGATTGCCTTAAGAAGGCAATACGAGATCGTCAATAAATGCGTTGTCTAACATCGTTAGTTAATGTTAAATGAGCAGTATTTAACGAATGACTTTAGTCATGGTTGCGGAAAAAAATAATGAAATAATAAAGATACATAGAGAACGGCGCATTTACCAAATATTGTAAGTTTTTAATAGCTCCAGCTCTTCAGAAGGTAATACGATATCGTCAATAATGCGTTTATATAATTTTCAAACTTCTAACATCATTAGTTAATGCCAAATGAGCAGTATTTAACGATTGACTTCAGTCCTCTGCACAAATTTTATTAAAAAAACTAATTTTTTTTAAATATTTAAATTTACTCACCTGCAACAGTCATAAATAATAAACAAACTCCTCTGTCATCTGACTGCAATTTTTCATTTTCTTCCAAAAATCATTCACAATAGATCGGTTTTAAGATTTGGCGCTATTTTAATGCGAGTGGCTTATTCGTTACGCAGTTTCAGGAAAGTGGGTTAATATTTAAGCGACACGTGTTCTATTGAGGCACTCATGCCAAAAGAATACATTAGGTGTATTGTAATAGTCCTTGGTCAAAATAAGGTTGGGAACCACTGTTTTAAATGAACTAGTTGGTTATAGAACAAATACGAATATTATAAATTATTTTTTAATTTTCTAAATAATAAGAAAACATTTTAACTGCTTTAATGTTTTTTGAAAGCTATGCTCATGTTATATTATATATCTGTAATCCTCACATGTAAACACTTTTGTGCATTAGAATTATAATTACATTAATGTGGAAATAAAAGTTTTTAAAGATGTTAAAAAATAAAAAACTTAGATGAAGTTTAAATTTTTATATCTCAATCAGTTAAATATTAAAAATCAAACAATAAAGCTAAATTTTAGCAACTATAAAAAAATTCCTACAGCTAATGTGACTGAAATTTTGATTCATAATTCACTCCTTTGTAGATGTATAAATTGCTTCAATGCTGACAGTACAATGACAGATCAAAAGACATGTTCCTTTCTTATTGTCATTCGCTTTCAATTTGTTATGGTTTGACCTGCCACTCTCCAAATTGGTTAGGATCAATGCGATTGGATTTTTACAGCAAGTATTTGGCCGACAAACAACACGTAAATTGTATATTGATATCATTTTATTTGCTACAATCATTGATGAGCGTTCAACAACATTCATCAAAAGCAGAAAAAACAATCGAAACATAAAACTTCATATATACAAGTACCAACCATACAGTATTATATTTGTTGTTGTTGCTGTTATTGTTGTTATTGTTGTTGTTGTTGTTGTTACGAACAAAAGCGTCTGCGTTTTGCTCTTTTTTTTTATTCATTCTTAACTAAAGTTAATATTCCACTTCTGTTATGTTCGAGTGCATTGTTGCTACTTAACTTTGGCTACTTTGGCTACTTCGGGTACCTTCGCTACTTTAGTTCATTGTTGTTACGAATGTTAGAACGAACCATCAGTGACCATCAGTAAGCATCAGTATGAACCATCCACTTGAATTGAATTTGTGAATGATCGCGCACATATTTGCATGTGCGACATTATCAGCTCATCAAGGTCCAACGCTTGCTGATTGCAACAATAGTCTTCCACAAAAACTCAACTGAATACAACATTTTTGTCGTAACGTCAACAGCAATAATATATGAAGCACATGGCTTAAAGTGCTCAAAGGAGACTTCAACCAAATTTAAATTCTTTTCTTTTTTTTTGTACAGTATTGTTTTAAAGCTTTGTTATCTGTTCTTATGAAACAAGTATATTTCAAAAAAATAGTGACCACGTATTGAAAGGAAAAAATGCAAAACAACAAGAAAAAGAATTAAATCAGTCACATTTTATAATCAACTATTGAGTTTGTCAGTTGTGTCACTATAATAATCGTCTTGTTCTCATTCTGTCATTCGTTTCATTAAAATGGCAGTGAGCCGGGACAGTCACTTATGTTGAAGTGATATATATTAATTGTGGAATGCAATTGACCAATTTGAAAACTCTGATAAATTATATAAAGGGCATATCATTATAATCAAACTTATTACCAACATTTATAAGTAGTATTAAAATTTTATTACTCTTGCTTACCATAGTGGTTATGGGTCATATACACTTTGCTAAGGAGTTGGTAATGTTGTGAAGAAAATACCAAAAAACCATATAAATCATACACGGACTTTGATACAAATTGTTGGACTATTTAGTCTCCGTCTATTTACTTGTATATATGTATAACTGCTAGTACACTTACTTACTCACTCACTTAGCACTTAGCGTATGAGCAAGTATTATGCTCTATCTAACTGTTTATATGTTTGATAGTCCGTTAGTATAGTAAACACTTAGTGTATGAGTCAGAATAAGTATCTATCTGTATATATACATATATATATATATATATATATATATATATATATATTAGTAGTGTTTACGATATATACGATGCCTATATCAATAATACTTTGTAATTATACTAAACGCTTAGTGTATAAGCTAGAACAGTACTCTATCTATCTTTCTGTATATTTGATAGTATTTTAGTATACTTATAGTTTAGTGCATGAGCTAAGATAATACCCAATCTATTTGTCTGTATATCTAGTGGTATGCTAGTATATTAAACACAGTGTATGAGTTAGAGTTACAGCATTATTGCAACTAACTGTCTGTATATATGTCAAACTATTCGTATATTAATCGCTTAGTGTTTACGATAGGATAATGCTTTATCCACATGTCTATATCTATGATAGTCTGTAAGTATATTAAATGCTTAGTATATAAGCTAAAATAGTACTCTTTCTATCTTTCTATATATTTGATAGTATTTTAGTATACTTGTAGTTTAGTGCATGAGCTAAGATAATGCTGAATTTATCTGTCTGTATATCTAGTGGTATGCTAGTATATTAAACGCTTAGTGTATGAGTTAGAGTTACAGCATTATTGTATCAACTGTCTGTATATATGTCAAACTATTCGTATATTAATCGCTCAGTGTTTTAGATAGGATAGGATGTCTTTCAGTACATTTTATGGTATTTTAATGCTTACTTTATTTGTCTATATATCTGACATTATGCTAGTATAAGCTAGGATAATGCTCAAACTAAGTATACAATAAAGCCATTGTATAATATAATTAAGTTCCAAGATTTTATGGCTATAGATTATTTGTTCAATCATTTGTTCAATAAAATTGCATACAAAACAATTTTATTAATAAATCAAAAGTAAATAGTTAAAAAAGTAGTAAACAAAATACTCAGAAAATAATGCTATAATAATATTCGGTTTAATAAAAAAACAAAAACTAGAATTAAGAATATATTATGGAGGAAGCTACTGTTTAGCTTTTAATATATTACTGCATTTGAGGAAACAGACATATTAAAAATAACTTTCTAGATATACCTGGCTCATGTTACCTCATTTCTCTTGCAGCCTGTGGTTTAGTTCTAATATTGAAGAAGTTGCATATTTCCTGAAACAGCTACCTAGTTCAACCCCAAAAAGCTAGATCGGATCTATGTCCGATGATTGGACTAGTTTTTTCAATCACTTTTGGATAGCTGGTGTAAATACAGAGCAGATGAAAATAATATTAGTAAACAATTGAACAATGAACAATAAGAAACCATTTATCATCAAAAATATAGCAATATTAGCAATATTAAGTTTGCTTTTTATTTAAGACAAGTAAATCTCAGAATCAACTCTCAAATCATGTTAATTTATTATTAATTAATTAATTAATTTATAAAATTTAATTTATGTATGGAAAATATGTGAAAAAACTAACAATCACCGATTTATGTAATGTCTTTTTATATAAATTAATCACAAATAAAGGCATATCTGTCCTACGTAGTCCAAAATTCAAAACAGAACCTAATAAAATTCTTATATATGTATATGTAAAAGTATTTATAATAAAAAGCCAAAAAGTGTTTTTTGAAAATTAAAAGCAATATAAAAAAAAACTGCAAAATTTTTGAAAAATCAGATCAATACAAATATTACCAAAAAAAATCATTAATCTAAAAATAAACGCTGTTAATATATATTATATAGCCATTCATTCATTTTGAACTGCCTATAACCTTTTTGACATGGCTTTTTGTTCCAGAACGATCTATTTCACCTCATGGTTTTTTCAGAGCTGATTTGAGATTTGTTTTATTTCATATGCGTATTACCTAACTTTCAAATTAATGCGCATATACTCGTGTGCTGAAGAATACTTTTGTCTGGAAATTGTGTAAGAATGTTCCTAACTTTTGGGCTATATCAACTACATGCATTCAACAAATGTTTTGTGCTTCAGGTCATTGTCCTATTTCAAGTGAAAGTGATCTTCTATGCCTGATTTTTCGGAAATATCAACCAGATATTGATTTATAAATGGAATTCAATGACATTTATAAAACATCAAATTTTTGGGTGTGCATTAGTTATATGGTCTTAAACTATGATTGATCAACCAGAATGTTTTAAAGGTTGCAAGTAACGAAATACTTCTAATATCAGTTTATTGCTGTTCGAAATAAAATAACGATTAATTACTTTATAGCAAAAATCAAGTGGTTGGATAAGGTTAAAGTGACTCAACAATAAGGACTTAGGTTCAAATACTTAAGTACAAATTTTTATTTTCCTGCCATTATACGAAATGCTTTCTAAAGTGAATAGAATCCATTTTAAATAGTTAATAAATATATAGGATCATCTATTGGCCGTTATATGCGTTAGTAAGATATATGCTTAGCTGTTATTCTGACGAACAAGATTATTATGTATTACACTTGAAATGATAGTCTAGTTAGCCCTTTTGAATGACAGCTACATCCATGAAAATGTTAAAGTCACGTGTTGCCAAATGAGGTAAATACATGGAATGATTGTCAGTTGAAACGTGAACTTCAGCCATGAAGTGACAAGTGTCGATCAAAGGAAGTAATATTTATGCGAAACATACCATGCACAAGCTTTTCTGTAGCACAAATGTTAGTTAACATCAACAAATTCATGTTTCTGAGATCCTTAAATTCTACTCCATATACGTCAGCGTAGACTAGAATGATAACTGATGAATTCACGCAAAGTCTTGGTGAAATCTGCAGTAATCACGAATTTAGGATGGTCAACATGTTTTTCAACGTGAGAGAAAGACTTATCCATATAAGGTTCGTTCAAATATTAAAATGTTTTGATAAAAGTTTTAGCATAATGCTACTCCAGTCGTAATAACATTACTCCTAATCGCCCAAATGTTGTAAAATTTTTGAGCAGTAGGTCAGAAAATAATTCACCTCATCAACTTATGTCATTGTCTCACTTTAAATACATATTTTTAAAAACCACACTACCAATATAATAACTTCTGCTCAAAAAGTACTCGGATTTTGCAAATAAAACACACAAATTTAAATTTTATTCCATATTTATTTTATCTCCTTCAAAATATGCTCCTTCTGAAGTGAAGCACATATGCCAACGCTTAACCCAATCTTCCATACACTTTTCGTAGACCCGTGAAGATATGGCTTTTAGTTCCTTCGGCGAATTCACTTTTACCAATTCAATCGACTCGAAACGCCTACCACGAAGGGGCAATTTGAGTTTCGGGAACAGGAAAAAGTCGCACGGATCCAGATCTGGTGAATATGGTGCCTGAACGATGATAGTGGCGCCGTGTTTGGTGAAAAAATCGCGTACAACAAGAATTTTCCATAGTAAAAATCGCTAAATGCACTTGAGGTAGTCTCACATTAACAGCTTTTGTAAACAAACTAATTGACAGATGGCGCTCAAATTTGTACCATATGTCAAGAAAGGGTGTACAAATATAACATTACTTTTTTAAAAGGTCCATTACTTAAGGAATAGTTAACAAACAACAAAATCCGGATACTTTTTGAGCAGATATAGTGTGTATCCAGATTTTCTTATTACGAGACAATAAAACACATAAAATTCATTTGTAGCTTCAAGATATCTAAGCTTTTCAAGCAATTACATCAAACGCTTATTCGTAATTTTCAAATCGGTTACAAATACCATATAAACAGTTTCTTAGTTAATTCGTTTTACTACTCAATGAAGGAATCACCATATAAACTGTTTTCTAACCAAACGTGATGTATAATAGAGAACTGCAACGACTCATAATTTTAAGACTTAGAGTACACGCATAAATAAACAAATATAAATGAGTATAAATGTTTTTCTCATACACTACTTACCTATATGCATTCACATTTGCTACAGAAATTAATCATAAGTACATTCGTTAAGATATGCCGGTGCTAAGGAATCAGCATCACATGAACACGTACATATTTCTAAGTAGAGTAGCATAAATGGTAAACGATTCGTGAATTATAGCATATACTCAGGTGAGTATAAATATACTCATCGAAAATAACTTACTCGATCAGATTAAGCATTCGTAAAAATTGTGTGCGAGCGCTTTAGTTTGCTAAGCAAAAAAATTTTGTGTTTAGTTTTGTGCTTTTGACGTGTGTTGTTGTTGTTAGCATTGTAAATGCACGTATTTTGTTTGTGTTCTTAAATGTTTTATAAGCATTAAATTAATTAGGGGTTGTTTGAGTAGGAAACAATCAAGTTTTTTCTGACTGTGACGTAATACTCATAAATGATTCATAAATCATTTGCATAATTTTTCGGTCGAATATCGGTGTTTATGAGTATCAAATGGGAATAGTATAAATCATATTAAGTGCTGTCAGCTATTTGTATGCATCAGGTGGAGTCAATAAACGAAAAAGTGACTCTCTTGAATGCATATAAATGAAACAATGAAACACGGTCAATGATTCGAGTATAATTCGAGTGTTAAGTATTAGTTAACGTCAAACCAAGCCGACTGTTAAATGAGTAAGTATCTCGTCCTAAATTGTTGAACGAAGTTTACAAGTTTTTAATTTTTTTTTTGTTTGACTCTGAAAAGTTGCAATTTTTAAAGAATGGAATCAGGTGAAGCGTAATATGGTACTTGTGTTCTTTAGTCACTATGATATGAAGGCCATTGACAGTGTCATCATTCTTGAGGTGAACTTATTCCTATCATCTTTAAGTGCAAAATTGAATATTACAAATCTAGAAAGAGAAAGAAAAAAATGCATAATTTTTGTTGTCATTCTCATCACATTTGTGCGTTATTGCGTTATTGAATGTAGATCGCTAGATAACTGGTGCGTTTTACTTTATCATTTTACACAAGTATTGAATCATGTTCTACTGACACTTTTTCAAGAGCTGGAATGCCACCTTTTCATAGCCACGTCTTCCTTACAATCGTTAGGGTTTTGAAGAGCATACAAAGATCGCCGTCCCTGAGATGCACAAACATTTTGATAGAATCTGCAGTTTTAAGGTCAAAATTGACTCAAATGACATTATTACGCTCGCAAAATAGGGGTTAAATTTATGGATATCTTTCTTAATATTTAACCTACAATTTTACAATCACATAAAGCTTATCACTTGCCCGGATCAGCACTTTATTGACACATGTCATGCCTGGATTTTATTTGAGCCTTCAACCATCAACGGTTTCTAAAGCTGTTTGGAATGAGAAACACTACTAATAAGATGGACAGGTAGACCACCACGAAGATGGTAAAACGGGTCGGATTAGTGATTGACCAGACATGCTTGTAGCCTTTGGCAACAGTGGATGGTATGCTGTACTATGGTTGCACATCTTTACTTTCTTAGTTGGCCATCACAGACGTTTTGTTTTTCCTTGCAGCGTCAAAAAGCCCAGCCAGCCAGCCCGATTAATTGCTTCCTGGCGCCAGTTGGTAATACCGAGCAAATCATTGGTCACCTGATCCTTCTACCGAAAATGCAGAAGTCTTTTGCAGCGTTTTTCACCTGTGGGTACTGACATTACCAAGTCAGTTTATCTGCTTAACTATGTCAATGTCGGGGTATAGATCATACAGCTCATCGGTCAACCTAATTCGATACTCGTCGCCTACACGTAATGGACAATAAATCTTTCAAAGAATTTTTCTCTCAAATGGTCCTAACACCATCACATCACTGTTGGTAATAGTCCAAGCTTCTGCAATATACAGCAGGAAAGGCATGATAAGAGACTTGTAGAGCGTGATATTTGTTTATCAAGAAAGAGAGCTTTATTTCTCAATTGCTTACTTAGTCCGAAGTAACATCTGTTGGCATGAGTGATTCTTCGTTGAATCTCTAGGCTGACGTCATTTTTGGTGTTTACGCTGGTTCCTAAGTAATCAAAGTGTTTCACAACTTCGAGCTTGTACAGTGAAGTGGGTCTCAAGACGCTCAGGAGATGTGTTTGTTGACAGAACGTACTTTGTTTTGTCCATATTTATCACAAGACCCATTTGTTTAGCTTGTTTTTCTAAGTTTAAAATTGTCGCACTGACGGTACGCGTGTTCAGGCCAATACCATCGGCATACACAGGCATCAAACTTTTGTAGAAAATTCCGCCAGTGCAATTTAATTCTGCTTCTCAAATTATCGTTTCCAACATTAGGGTAAAGTTATCACATGAGAAGAAGTCATCGTGTTTGAAACCTCGGTTGGTATCAAACGACTCGGAGAGGTTCTTCTCGATTCTAACGGAGCTGGTGGTGTTGCTCAACGTCATTTTACATACCCGTATAAGTTTTGCTGGGATACCAAATTCAGATATAGTGACATTGAGAGTACTTCTGGTCGTAGTGTAAAAAGCAGCTTTGAAATTGACAAATGATGTGTGTCGATTTGTTTCTATTGAATCTTCTCCAGGATTTGATGCACTGTGAATATATGGTCTAGGGTGGATGTGCCAGGTCTGAAGCCACTCTGATAAGGTTCAATCAGTTGGTTAACGATTGGCTTCAATCTTTCACATAGTGCATTAAAACAGAACTTTATATGCGATATTTAAAAGACTGATCCGGCAATAGTTGGTGCAGTTTGCAGAATATTTTTGGAAAATGGGCAAACTACACTTAAATTCCAATCGTTTGGCATGGATTCATCTGACCATATCTTGCAAATGAGCTGTAGCATGCATTTTAATAGCTCTTCGCCACCAGCTTTAAACATCTGTTTTGATCATCCGGTAAACCATCGGCGCCTGCAGCTTTGTTGTTTTTGAGCTACAGCTATAATGCAACTGTTTTAACTTCATTATGATCGAGAAGCGGGACGATTATTTTATTGTCAACGATTGCAAATTTGGGATCATCTTCGCTTTCAGTCACATTACTATTAGCACCATTTAGTGGATTCGAGAAGCATGCTTTGGACATTTATCATCAGATTACCATTTTCATCTTTGCAGGAATTAACTCCGGATTTGTAACCATTTGTTAGGCTTTTGATTTTTTGATCGAATTTTCAAGCAATATTTCTATAGTCAGGTTTCTCAAGCTTTTCGTACTCACATCTTTCTGTTTCTTCCTTCTTTCGCCTGAAAAGATGTTTTTCTTCCCTTCTTTTTTGCTGATATCGTTCTTTAGTCGTGCGCGTCGCAACTGACCGATTGATATGCTGCATCTTTCTCTGCAGTAGCGTTACGATTGGTTATACCATATATTTCTTTGTCTACAGCGATGCACCACAATAATGATCCAAGTCAATTTTGGCTTCTTGGAGAGTACGTACATCCAAGACACTGGAAGCATGCTTTCTGTCTATCACAACGTGATCAATTTAAGATCTTGTGTTTTGACCAGGTGACAGCCATATTGCCTTATGTATGTTGAGATGTTAGAATCTGGTACTACTAATCACAATGTTTCTTGCCGCGGCGAAATCAAACATCATGAACTCAAATTTCTTCCTCTGTGAAAATTGGATTAATTATGGCGAATTTTTAGTTGATGGAAAATGACAGTAATTTGAGTAAATGAATCAAATATTTTTATATTGAATATATTTATGACATTAACAATGAAAGACGATATCATTTAGAAAGTTAACTTAGCCTTTTTCACAACTATTTAAAAATTGGTGCTTTAAAAAGTCGTAGCTGCTGATCTTAATTAGTGGTCCTGTTGATGCCTTAAGGTTGGTAATATGAGCTTCAGAAACCTACATTTGATTGCGTGGAGCGTTTCTTTAATACAAAAGGAAAGTCTTCTTACAAAACTTTAGCAATTTGTTTCTGATTTTTGGCAGCAAAGAAAAACGCACGATTACATGATAAGTATTTAACGTACTCAAAAAATCGTAGAAAAGTAGCAAACGAATGGAAGAAATTGATTGCTTCGCACATAAAACAGAAACTTTCACTGTGAGCTATTGTGTATTGATAGTATCCAATCATTCTGAATCAACATTTTTATAGGAAAAACCTAAAACTCTGGAGCATCTGAAACTAAAAGCAATCCACAACGGTTGGTGACTTATCCAGCTGTTTTTTTCCACCTCGACGTGATTAAAAACCAACACAAACGAAACGCTGAAGTCAGCAGAATAAATCGTTTGATCTAGAATGCATAATGCCTCTTCGGGATTGTAGCATCGTCGTGGCTAGGGGGCTTAGTAGAGTGCAATGAACCTCAGAGCGATGCCGGCGGTAGTGTAGTTACTGGTAGGGCATTGCTTGTCGGTAAGATCAATGGGGAGCATCTGAAACTAAAAGCAATCCACAACGGTTGGTGACTTATCCGGCTGTTTTTTTTCCACCTCGACGTTTTGGGATGTAAGCAAGATATAGCATTGGTCATGAATTTTTTTACGATCCACAAAAAATTATATAGTGGGGTTTCAAGAGAACGGCTTTCTCAAAAAAATTGTTATGTGATTTCCTGTGGCTACTCAAAAAAATAGACAGTTGACTTTGTAGTTAATTTCTCTATTTATTAAAAAATTTTAAAACAAAAATAAAACATTCGTAGCCGATGTTACTATTGCTGTTGTCGCTGATACTGCTGCTTTTAGTGCTGTGGCTGCTGTTGCTGTAGTTCCTGTGGCTGCTGTTGTTGATATTATTGTTTCTGTGGCTGCTGTTTCTGTAGTTGCTGTTGTTGTTACTGTGGCTGCTGTTACTGTGACTGCTGTTACTGTTGTAGCTGTAGCTGTAAAATTATTTATTTATTGTTCCAACAAATTATTTTAAATCAAACCACAAAATATTTAGCACTTTATCCTTTTACGATATATAAGATTATTTATTTACTGTTCAAACAAATTATTTTTAATTAAACCACAAAAACATTTCAGACACCACTTTATCAACTAACTGGGTGTTCCGTCCGGGAAACCCGAATTCAACTTCTAACAACTAACTCGTTTGAAATTTTCCACCTACGTTTTCACCTTTGGGAATCAGTGAAAACATTGATCATATGCGTAATGCGTGATCGGAAATTTCTATTATTTTAGGCAAAATTATTTTATTATTTTTGGTAAAATATTGACCTAGTTACCTGTTGGTAACTGCCAATATTTAGCACATGCAATTCCGTATAAAATAAATATTGAGTTCAATAGCTGAACTCAATAATATTTTGCAACAATGCTTTCACGTTGTTTGGAGAATTGACTTTATAAATATTAAAGTATAAATATTAAACCTTATTTTACATTACATTATACACCACGAAAAATGGTTTGTAAAGTAACATAATTTTTATGTTAATATATCTAGCTAGACTGGATACACAACACATCGACTATCTTTGATCAGAAACTCGCCGTTTTCTCGGACTCTTGAGTCTGCAGGTCTGACTGGTGACCTTAACTGGCAGGTCCAGTAGCAGTCTAGGATGCTTAGGCTCATCACTCATACGTCTGAGTCTACACGATTATTGAAACCTAAAGAAATAATAATCAACAGTACCCGCTGGTGAGAGAAATGGAATGAAAATACGAAAACGATACGAAAACAATAGCAGAAACTTCCAAATTAGCTGAAGTTGAACGTGAATTTCTCCGTCTTAGCCTTCTATTCGTCTGGCTAAACAAAAGAATATGGAATGGTTGCGGCGAACAGAAAGTGGCGTAGATTTTCTATTATCCAAAGAGACTAAGCAAGCGCTCATAGAATGACCACCACATGACGACCGAATAATTCTAGCAAAGTTTAAAACTAGAGCTAGAACCCTCACATGCATACAGTGTTACTGACCCACTGAAGGTACCGACCTACAAATCAAAGATAATGTTTACGTCTCCCTGTACTCTGTACTGAATAACTGCCCAAGAGGTGAAATAAAGCTCTTCATGGGCGATTTCAACGCGCAATTTGGGTCGGATAACTATTGAAGAGAGTATACAATGGATGGGTAAGCATTCTATCGGCACAATAAATGTTAATAGGGATCGTTCTACGAATTATGTAACTCCATGGACCACACCGTAGAAGATTTTTTCGTACAAATATTTATATAAAATCACTTGGGCTTCCACAGGTTATGTAACAGAAAATGAAATCGACCTCAACAAAATATATTAATTGGCGAACCGCAAATCAAATTAACTGCGATCAATATAAAATCACAAATTAAAAGAAAACGCTTTGGCGAACCGCAAATCAAATTAACTGCGATCAATATAAAATCACAAATTAAAAAAAAACGCTTTGATCTCGCCACGCTCCATTCCCCTACTGTATGAAATAGCTTTCAGTCTTTTTTGTTGATCCAAATTCCTAATACTTTGATAGTAGAAGAAGAAATTTCTGACGCCGAAACTTATTGGGAACGAGCAAAACGTGCCTTCACTGAAGCAACACAACAAAGCGTCGGTTACCAACGTCAAAATATTTCGTGGATGACCGAGCATACATAGAATCTTATAAAAAGAAAAGGTTAACAGGGCAAGAACACATCAAACAAAGCAACAGTCCCAAGCCTACAACAGTATTGCCAACCATAGAGTTAAACGCAACGCTAGAGCCGCAAACGTAGATGGCTCGACAATTTAGTAACAGAAGCCCAAAAAGCCAGCAAATCACATAGGCTCAAAGACACAAAAAAATAATGTGTCTTTATAATGGAACGTATACACAGAAATGCAAAGCCAATCAAAACTACTAGGGGTGAATTAGTGCACTCTATTAAAGATCAGCTGAGTGTGAGAAAATAATTACGGAAACCTCCTACTGGAAAATAACACCAATCTTTAGCAGGAATTATATAGTAGACATGCTGAACATGCTGCTCGCAACGATATAAACATATACATGCCTAACATCGCTGAAATCGAGGCAGCTAAAACTTAACTTAAAACTGGTAAGTCCGCTAGTCCGGACAACATTGCTTCCGAACTGCTCAAAGCAGATAAAAATTCAGCTGGTCGAATTATTCAACCAATTATTAACAATTTCTGGTCCCAAGAGTCCTTATCGCCCAATATTAAAGATGGCACCATTATTAATCTAACAAAGAAAGGTAACCTGATGAAATGCTCCAATTGGAGAGCCATGAATTTACTAAATGTAGCTTATAAAGTCCCTAAAGCCTAGACCTAATCGATAAAGTGCCGACCACATAAACAGCCTTTGAGCCGTCGCCGAACAGTTGAGTGATCGGCGATCTCCTCTATATCTATTGTTTATCGACTACAAACGTACATTCGATACACTTTTTCATATCGTCATTTGGTTTGCATTTGAATGTAAAGGCATACCGAGCAAATTGATAGATTAAGTAAAACACTTATACTCTAACGTGCATTGTTCAGTATTTCATGAAGGATGTCTCAGCGGATGAATTCAAATGAAGTCTGACATCCACAAGGATGCATGCTTTCATTATTTAATATAGTCTTAGATGTGGTTATTTCGGAAGCTATGAGCGCAGATTCGGCCTTCAAAATAAACCTACTAACCTTGATTACGCGGATGACATCTCTTTGCTAAGACATAACTTTTCGCAAATGCAAATATCGCTAAACATTATCACAAAGCGTGCACTAGCAGCTAGATAATCAATATCAGTAAAGCCGAGTATATGCATTTGAATTCAAACTGCACAACGAATTTGCAACTAAATGGCGTCTACATCGAAGATGTACGTACAAAGTTTCTGCTATCTGGAAAGCTACATTTTGTTAACGGTGGCAGTCGGCAAGATATTCAACACAAGCTATCGAAAGCAAGCGTTTGACACCCTAAACAAAATTCGGCGTTCATTCAACATCTCACAACGCACTAATATACGCCTTTACAATGCAAATGTAAAGTCAACTTTACTATTTGGTGACGAGAGTTGGAATTTATCGGCAAGCTACGCACAACATCTTCAAGCTTTTGACAATCGCTGGCTAAGACGTAGTGAACATTTTAGAATGCATCAGCCTTTTATAACTGAAGAATTAATTATGCGAAAATACAGATGGCTTGGACATACTTTAAGAAAACATTCTGATGACACCGCAAGAAAAGTCTTAGATTTCAACTCTCAAGGCAGTAGAAGACCGGAGCGCCCGCGCAATACTTGCAAGAGATAAACTGAAACCGAATTAAGAAGCGCTGGAAAGAGCTGGAGTGAAGCAAAACGTCTTGCTTTAGATAGAGTTCAATCGAAACTATTTGTTACGGCCCTATGTTTCAACTAGGAATAAAAGGTTTAAATAAACCAAAGACAAATAAACCGAGACAAATCTCGGAAGCTCGATGGAAATCTGTGGAGAAGAAGATCGCAATAATCAGAAAGATACAAACGTATGAAATCAGCTAATGTCGTTTTTAATAGAGTAGAGTAGAGTAATACATTTGCAAATGCATCATACTTATAATATGCAATTACACGACCACGTTAAAATTGGTTAAGGGGTCAAGTGTTAAGTTTTAGGAACTGCAGAAAAGTACTTGGCTTGAAAAAATGGACAGGGCTGACATATAATATCCCGATAATAAGGGGCTACTCCATGCGGTAAAATTCACAGGATGCACTGGACTTGCTTTGTTTCCAATATTTCAACATACTGACTTAAGAATAGAGAGTTCTTCAGGCACCAAGGCCAACGCAAGAAGATCAGAGCTTAATTCTTCAGATTAATGATGAGTCGGAAAATGTGCTCCAGTCGAAATTTGGAAAGATATCGATGGGTCTGAGCAGTGTCTACCCGAAAAAGCTAAACTCAAAAATTAAAACCAAAACACTGCAGAAGTGGGCGAAATCAAGATAGTAGTAGATTTTGAAAGCGAAATCAAGAAAGTCGTAGATTTTAAAAGCTTGGCGACCTTGACGGTTGGAAATGATGAGAACACGAAAAAAGCAAACGATGGTGCAATCAGCCAATGAATGGTACTGAGAAAACCTCTTTTTTCTGATTATGTGGATATGAGCGTCGATGTAAGCACATGTTTTGAATTCTGTTTGAATTCTGAGAAACATTGTCATTCATTCCGTTGAAAGAATTATGTTATTCTTTGTGAAAATATTGGTAAACTATGAAGTGGTTTTCATATTATGGCCGTACTAATAATTAAAAAAGTGCTGCTAAGTAGCACCTACACGACACTAACATCTCATAGGAATATTTTAGAGTGAGATAACTTATCTTTATTTAGAATCGTTTTATTGAAACCAAATTAATACATAGTATTATTTCTTGTTTGATTATTGGCATTAATATTTTTTTTAACAAACTCATACTAAATTGGAAAAGTTGGTATTTTTGCACGACATAAACATATTTTTCAAAATGGGTAAACTTATCTAAAGGTTTCGGACGCCACATCAGTATTGCTTTAACTTTTGTCTTATATGGTTGCCTTAACTATGATTCTATACAAGATTGATTTTGAAAATATTCCTGTCGTGTTTTTTTTAGTTTTAGTCTTTATATTAATTCTTTGTTTATAATGTTAAGAACTATGGTTAATATTGCCAAAAGTTACGGTGCTGATGAAGTTGTTCTTTGGAAAACGAAGAGAAACAGAAACATGTTTTACAATGGATGCATGACTGATGAAAGCAACAATGATGAACATTGTTTCACAAAAGCAAAAACTCATTCACATTTCTTTTGTGCAAAGCAGACAAAGTATGGACAGATAAAACGCATAGCAAACAGAAGCCCGATTTTAGAAGCAAGAAATACCACACGACTGCAGAAATGTTGTTTGGA